CCTCTCGCTCTTCAGCCAGAATAACTAAGGATGTATGCTTGTAGACCTGGTTGGTTGATAGTCATATTAGTGAGGTGTCCTCTGTCGTTCGATGTGTCATATAATTGGTATTGTTCCTACGATTTCTTTTATTACCCCATTCCTGATCTTATTTCGCCTGGTCTTGTTCCCTGTTTTCTTCAAGCATTTTATCTCAAAAGTGATCACTTTCCTCTCAAGAGTTTATATTAGGGGCCATATCTGACACTGGTATGTCAGCGTTGTTAGGAAAATGGCGTTGATGAGATATGCATTGGTGCTCATGGAAATGTCACGATGTTTTAGAAGAGAAGAAAAGATGGTAACTGACTGCGTTGGGTTTTTGACATCTGGTCTTGATTTCTCTGTCTAGCTTGGCGTTTTTCAGTTTTTCAATTGCATGTCCTTTCTTACTGAAAGGTCATCCAATTGCCGTTATTTGTAAAAGTAATCGAACTAATAAAGCTATAATCAAGAAATTTGATACTGTTGCAAACAAGCTTTGAATTACTAAAATGATTTATACTTGCTTTTCGATTATAAACATACATTTAAAGTCTTCACAATAACTGGATATCTGTGACTTGTTCAGAAGAGCTGCTTTATTCTGATGCTAAAAAATGACAGCGAAATGGGAAATAGTGAAAGAACATTTTACGCATGAAAAAAAATCAATAGCGGTTCTTCCAAAACCATTTAAGTGACAAATAGTTTCCCACTGTTAGTATGTGCTTTGTGATGGGATTTTAACTGCTATGAAATCTCATCCATTATTAAAAGATGATGAGACAAAAGAAACTGTTTCTTTTATCGAAGACGTTTTGACATTTTGGAAAATGGTGAATGAAAAGATATTTATGGAATTTCCAATATAAATGATCTACTGAAAAGAGTGGTATCAGATCGAAATGATGGAAATTTGATATTTCTTGCACACTTTGGAAGTATGGTAAAATAAATGAGAGAAATCAAGGAAAGAGAATAAAAATCCTTCACAAGAGACACTATCATGGCTATCGAGCATACACATAATGGTTTCATTGATGTTTGCAGATATTTACTTGACAGTGGGTTCAATTTTGATATTCTTGTAGAATTTACCACCGACAATCTTGAAATTGAATTTGGTAAATTGAGACATGGTTCTAGCGGTACTTATTTTATTACAGTACAGAATGTTATTCAGAAATTTCATATTCACAGAACAAAAGTATTTCTTCGGTTGAAAGCTGATGTTAGAGAGCATAACCATGTTCCAGGCGATAATAGCTCAAAATGTGGATATCTGATGAATGAAATGCCAGACGAAACATTTGATCACCTGACAGACCTAGAAACTGGTATCTTCAAAGATACGAAAGTGTCGCTTTTTTATACAGCAGAATATATCACACGAAAAGATCCTCTTATAGAGGAAAAAATATTCAATGATACTGTTTTATATTAAGATGAGTAAGGCATTTTTTTTTTGCTTTTTTACTTTATTTTTTTTTTAAGAAATAGATGGCGATGATATAAAATTCCTAATTTCTGTTTTATAATGTAAAATCAAATGTTTTTTTCTGTTTTATACTGTCAAATCAAAGGTTTGACGAATTTTATAACAAATCTTTATGTTGGTTCCGAAATGCATCATCTCAATACAAAAAAGCTGCGTGGATTTGTATTGTCAAATATTCAATAAATTTGTTTGCTAAGTTTAATCGACTACACGACCACACTATAGACTTGGATGCTGAAATTTCAGTTTGAACTTTGTTTATGGATTATTTTATGGTGTAAGATGAAGACTATACCCGAAATGTTGTGTTGAAAACTATCAAAATGAGGACAGTTTAAATTTTTGGTTATTAAAATACATATTATCACATTTAAAGAAACTATGTTTCTGTGCTGGATGACATCAATTGGATCGAATCCTTTTTAATTTACCACAATATTCAATTCATGATCTGTTGACACAAATACAAATATTTAAGTAAACTCTCAGTTTACTATAAACAAAATATTTACATAAATATATGTTTCTATAAAAATAACGTATAAACAGAAAACATATTAAAATAATTGTCAGATTTAGTCTATTCCAAGTTGTCATTTGTTTACGTTAAGATACGTTTTGAACAGATATGATCGTTCGATAAAAATCATGTAAAATGTGTTGTTTAAAAACAGTAATTTGACTTTCCTAACAAGACTCTTACTCTATAGCTAAATAGTATAGTACGTCAAGCTATATGAAGGATCCGTGTATGATACAGGCTCGATTCCTGTCGGAGGACACATATTTTCTATGAAATTACTCGGACATATAGGACGGTAAATATAGTTAATACTGTTTATTATAAACAGTGCATTTACTTAAATATCTGTATCTTTAAAAACAACATATAAACATAAAATATATTAAAATAATTGTCGGACGTATTCCATCACATACACACAAACACACACACACACACACACACACACACATATATATATATATATATATATATATATATATATATATATATATATATATATATATATATATATATATAACGTCATCCACAGACAGACTGTTTCGCTGTTTACAGCTCATCAGTGTGGCTAGACATCCGGTTGCCTCTAGCTAGGATCAAGACCCGACTGAATTGCTGTCAGTCGGAGCTTCTAACCACTAAGCCGTCGGCGCACGGTAGGGATGAAGGCCCCCCAAATTCTATCACTTGTATATCCTTGCTTGACCCAGCTAATTCTCCTTGATGGAGCGGCTAAGGGAAAGGAAGACGTATCGTAACTGTCCGGGTTCGATTCTTGGTAGTGGATGCGCACTGGTGATGAGCCCCAAATACGACAAAACAGCTGTTCAGTGCTTTCTGCATTATGTTGAGGATTCTTGTAGACTCGACGAATTACTAGAATGACTATTCTCATCCCACTAAATTCTATCACTCTTATATATATATATATATATATATATATATATATATATATATATGGAAGAAAAATTGAGGTCAATCTGAAATATCAAATATATATGAATAAATAAATACTTTCATAAAAACATTATTATTTTTTTTTTTAATTTTCTCTTTCTCTCTCTCTCTCTCTCTCTCTCTATATATATATATATATATATATATATATATATATATATATAGTATATTGTAACCGAAATCCACACTAGCTATAACCATGAAAAGCTTCCAAAAATCTTTTCTCCTATACACTTTATGTAATATAGAAATACTTCATAAATAATTGATTCATTCACAATAGTTTAAAATTCTAATCCAACCATTCCCAATATCTTAGTATTTCAAAATTCTTCAGTTATATTCAAGTTTCTAGAATTAAATATGCTGATAATAAAAACCAAATATGGAGGCAATAGTCCAAATGTAAATGATGTGAAACCAATGATTTTAATGAATTTATGTGTGTTTTCGGAGATTGTATCTTCAACACCAGTAAGCAAAAATAGCATCCAATTATTTAACTGGTCACACAATACCGTTTGCTTGGAGGTTAATTTCTCGGTTATCAAAACTTAGCCTAATTTATGTCCATGGGGAATATCAACGCATAAATGACCAATGTAGGCCTTTTTACACGTGTATTATTACAAATATACTATATAATACTTACTGTGGAGTAAGACTCGAAATATTCAAAATTATTATACGACTGTAGCTAGCCAAATTATATAAAATAATTCTCGGCAGACGTGACGACATTTTAAAATGCGTATAAAATATTTATTAATATGTTCGTCCTATGGTGCAGTGAAACTCACTGAAACTTTTTTACACATAATGCACGGTAAACGTACATTTATATTTGAATTGTAGCGTTCCTAAAAAGGTGAGGATGAGTCTAATAAGGAGATTTCTTTATGACACTGATAGCATTATTTTTTGTAGTACTCATAATAAAACCAACCTTAGACACAAACGCAATAGGTTTATTTTTGTCCGGTATCAAGTTATTCGCTAATTAAAAAAATTTAATAAAAAGACACACTTGTCGTTTGAATTAAATCATTTTTATTTAATATTTGCAGATTTAATATGCATTACACATGTAGTATGATACTGATTGACTAATAAATTTTTGAGCTTGTTTTAGTAAACATTTTACGCAAACACATCCTTTTTTATTGAACATGCAGTTGATTTATTATTCACTCAGTCAGAGAGTTATGCGCCATGCGTGATACCCATTTAGGCAATCATGTATCTTTCGATACATGACTGACGAGGCAGATTTTTTTTTCCCGCAATGCTTTCTGCGGTAGACAAGTTGCCATCCAAGGCTACAGAACCCGGTCTATCCTGAAGAGGATTTCTACCTTTTAGAAGGGTATTAGCCCGTAAGTGAATGTAATGGATTCGACTGGAATTCGAACTCGCCTCTCCGATTCCTCAATCCGAACCGCTATCCATAACTTTAACTTAAATTCTTTGACGATGTTGAGAACAGACTCCTAGAATCTCTGATTTGCTATGAAATTTTTCTTTTGTCCTACAACTGAGTCTTCATTGAAGTTATCACCCTTCGCTTACGGTGTACTTGAAAGAGCGGTTTAAATATTTGAAAGGCAGAATCAGTTACGAAGAGATCTTACCACTGGGAAATTGAGACAAAGGTCTCTAAAGCCTTCTAGATTAATAAATGAATGCTGTATGGACATTTGTCAAAGAAGGAGTGGGTCAATATTGAAGCAAAATTGACAAGCGATGCACGGGCCTTTGAGGCACCAACTTGCTACAGTCATCGACATAAACAGTTCCCTCCTCTCGTTCAACACTAACTGGTCGACAGATGTGGGCTTTCTATCAAATTTATTGAATACAAAACCCAGCACTAATTCCCTTCATTTGTTTTAGCAGCAACTGTGGATATTTGAATGTGGGTGTGCTTGGTGTGCTCGTGAGGTGAGAAGATAATTTTTGTTCTTAGTAAATTTATGGACACATTCATATATATATGAAAACTGATAGATAGATAGATAGATAGATAGATAGATAGATAGATAGATTCAGATGAAATTAATTGTATCGCGGTAGATTGAAAAATAGAATTAAACATATAGAGAGTTAAACATCTCTCTAATTCTCGTTTAAATTTTTCAATTTCTTGTTTTAAGCTGTACCTGTCAGATAGATAGATAGATAGATAGATAGATAGATATGAACTAAATGAGATGGACTGAAGAATTAGGAGATATGAACAAAATGTGATACATAATTGTATAGCTATTTATATGTAGAGAGAGAAAGCGGATGAGATTTGAGTATAAAGAAAAATATTTCACGTCCGAACCAATTAGAAGATATTCCTACTCATGATCCACAAATATAATTTCGAAACTAAACGTTGGAATAATGACTAAAGCTACTACAGGTAAATGAGCCACTAACTCAGAAAATTAGACGATATGACAGATTGCTTGGCAAATCTATAGATTGGTAGATTTTACATGCAAGCGAATCACCTGAAAGCGCATTACGGATGTGTATGTGTACATTACAGTTTATTTACTTTATTATAGTTAACTCACTACTCAGCCGTATTGTTCTAACAAGACCACCTTGCTAACCGTTAGACCACATCGAGTTGGCTAGTATTGCGTTGGTAATTTTCTAAACATAGCTTAGATAAGACACCAGGTCCAAAGTATGAGACAGTAAGGATTGAACTCATTATTCAGTCGTAAGTGGCCGAGCCCGACAACCTTACTTAATACACATTAGACAACGTCGAAGTGCCAAAATGTATGTGCATATGACTATTTTCTAATCGTAGCTCAGATGTGGCACAAAGCCGTAAGTATGGGGCACCTAGTTAGAATCAAACACACTACTCGATCGTAACTGTTTTCCCGTGACAAGCCTGCTAAACCTTACACCCCGTCATGGTACCAAGTATTGCAACGGTGATTTTATAAGCGTAGCTTAGATGTGGCACAAGGCCGTAAGTATGAGTACACAGTGAGACTCGAACTCACGATTCAATCGTAACAGTTTACCGCGACAAGCTAAATTGCACCACATCGATGTGCTCATGTGTATGTTTATATGAACGTACATCAGAATATGTATGCGTTTTTGTGAGGAGTTTACATTGGGGAAAAAATGTTTCAATGGCAAACAACAATTTCGCTCGTGGTTTCTATTTGAAAAAGTTTATTAATGTTATTTCTATGTTAACATTAGCGTTAGATCTCATTGGGACACAAGTATAAACAAATGTCGACACAACGTCTATAAAACTTTTTTAAAGGGATACAATTCTTCCCGAAACCTTTCGTTTCTTTAATCTTTCTGTTAACACCGTCCTAAGAACTTCATAAAAATTCCGTATGTTGTTCATTTTCTGCCAACGTCCATATATTTATCGGGTTTTATCTCTTTAAATATATCTTGATAATTTGTTGGATATAAATTATCTAACAATGTATTTGTTCTTTCTTTTTAGCTCCCATCGAGATGATCTACTTGAATTTAAATGTCTCATCTTATATATATATATATATATATATATATATATATATATATATATAGATAGATAGAGAGAGAGAGAGAGAGAGAGATGAAATTGAAATTGTTAGAAAATTCTGTACAAAAGCTTGCTGTATAGAGAAAATAAGATATACAAAAGCACGTAATTTTTGGGATATTTTATATGTAATATTTATTTATATGTAATGCTTATTCAAGGGCACATGACACAGTGGATAAAGGCGTTGGATGGATCCAGTGACAGAACCCAATGAGTGTGAGTTCAATACCCGGTTAAGGCAGTGGAGAACTTTCAGAGGGAATATTAACAGGAGATAACTGACATCCATTAAACAGGGCACGTGGAACTAGAACAGTCTACCCAAGTGAGCGAAATAAAGGCTTCAGTTCAACATTACAACCACCTGAAGAAGACTGGAGGGTACAACGGACGAAACGTTGTAATAAATGTGGCGACAAAGATTGGGACAATAGTCCGAATAATGTAATATTTATAATACTCATATTTTTACAGAGAATTGTTAAAATTATTTTACTCTCATGTGTGTCTTCATTATTTTTTTTTTTACTTTAACTGGTTTCACTTTTTTCTTAAAGTTGAAGTATAACTATTTTTTATGAAAAAAGACAATAGATCTACTAAAACACATTTGGTTTTATTGAGTGTTACAGAATATGAGAAAATCACCATTAAGCAAGTAGAAGATTAAATGAACAAGAATTAATCAGTCAGTGGATTGATATTGAATTTAAATATTTGATATTTAAAGATTGATATTGAATTCAAATTTTTGAAAATCAAAGTTGATTGGTATGCAAGAAGCCTGAAGAGAGTTCAAACAAGCGTGAAATGAAAGACAGAAAACTGTTAGCGCAGATTATACGGTTGGATCTAGCCATTTAAACTTTAAAATGATGAGACCATGCCGCCAGTCTACCATTGCCCTTAAATTCATAATGTCACGGTCCGATAGAGGAAAAATGATCAGAACAAATAGCATGAAAGTATTTACAGCAAAAGTACAGAGAAGCTACATTACGGCGGTGGGTCAGTGACTGAAGGTGAGATGCCAGTTCAGAACTAATAAAATTGCAGATTATTTTTGGGATTTTACCAAGGATTTCTAAATATATAAGAAGAGCACCAGATTATTATTATTATTATTATTATTATTATTATTATTATTCAGGAATAATTATAAGTGGATTTCACTTGATTCCAAATAACATCAATTTTGTTCAGAAGTCCAGGACTTCTTTTATTCTAATATATTTTAGCAGATTTACCAATCTTCATTCCTTCATTTTCTCTCAATTCAGATTGGGCCCCATAAATTTATGCGTAATAAATAAGTACAATAGATATCTTATTCATAATTCCCTCACAACAAATGTTATTTCACTTTTTTAAATAAAGTTCACATTTAAAAGCCCAAGTCATTTAAGTTAGAGGGTTACTGAAAATCTTTGTTTCATGAGCGGGAAGTTTACAATATTTCTGCTATGGATTTTGTTTCAGATAAAACGCAAAACATTATACTGAAGAATGATTTGAAAGACAGATATGGAAGGTCTTGCATTTTTTAAGACAAAAACAATCTTAATATAATTTACTACCTCAGATTGATCTTAGCATTTATAAGATCAGTCTGTTAACATTCAATAAGCCAGCAATAAGAAGTTACGGTTTATTCAACCGGCCGGCACCCTACAACGTCTGGGCAATCATTAACTTAACAGATGCCACAACTTTACATATAAGACGTGAATGATATTTTTAGGACATTTTTTTTTTTTTTGGATACGGAGAGATATATGCCATTAACAATATAAGATTACTAAATATCCTTAGATATTTTTCGTTTATATATTTTCTCCGTGAAAATTGCCTTATGATTTTTTTATTCAATTTCAATGATTTTACTATACTTTAAGATTTCTGTCTTTTCTCTACTATGGTTAATCATATTTTTTTACTATTCCCATCCTTTCAGAAAATTCATCAGTTTCCTTAAATCACTTTTTTATTCTTAAAAATATTTTTTTTCAATTTGCCTTTCTTTATTTAGCCCCACATACGAAGCCCAGTCATACGCCTCATAATACACATTTCTCTTTTATTTACAGTCCTTCTTTTTTTAACCCTATTTTTCTTTATATCTAACTGCTTTCCTTTCCTTATTTCTTTTTCTCTCTTTTTTTCCATTCTTGTAAACGTTATCAAATTTTCTACGTGAAGAATAGAAAAATAGAGTTCATTATTCGTCAGTGTCCGGCTGGAGAGTGATAGATACTATAGAGGAGCATTCCAATTACACCATTTGGCAAGATTGGCCCATGCCAGGCTGCTCCATGATAATGAGACGTCAACAGTAATATCATCAACAGCCATCCTGTCTGTCAGTCACCAGTGCGGCTGATAAACTTTTTGGTTTACTATCAATTGGAAAATAGCCTAACACATTGGACAAAAATATATCACGGTGTCCATCACAGAAAATAGAAAAAAAAAAAAAGAGGAAAACAAACAGAAAAACCGAAAGATTGTCTTTGAAATTACGTTTCTACAACGGAGCCTTTTTTTTATTAACAAGTCAATAAGATGTGAATGTATTCAGATTTGGGGAATATCGGTAAGTATCTCTTCCTATCCTATGTACTTTTCATTTGACAAGGCGTATACACAAAAACACACGAAGAGACATCAGGTCAGATTTTATGACTCAAGGACATATATTTACAAAAGAAAAACAACTTGTTTTTACAAAGAAATGCTGATAAATTTTCAGGGGATATATATCTGAGGTTCAAATCGTTTTAAAACCGTGTTAGTGTGAAACTTGGGTTACAATGAGAACAAATCTCTCCATGGTCGACTTGCCAGGAAGGAGATTCTTGAAGTGTGGTTTGAAGGGGGGGATCCCCGCATGCAGAAATTTTGGAAAGTGTCTGGAAACCATACGACGGATTGGCCCAAGCCTTGTGAATGATATTGGGTATACGGAAAACTTGGGAGTCATCGATGACTATGATAGCACGAAGTCACAAGTCATCGTGACAGAGAGTTTGAGTGCCTTGTCCAGATTGGGGATCACGCAAGATAACACGCTCTCTCCCAGAAACTGTAACTAATATCTGTTCAACATAGTTGCAGTATACACTTCAGGTGGGTTCTCTGGGTATTGAACAAACGCAAATGCGCCTGAGCGGGCGTCTGAAATAGGGATGGGCTAGCCGCCATAGACGAAGGTTATCCAGGAAAAAGAGTGTCCGGCTATTATATATATATATATATATGTGTGTGTGTGTGTGTGTGTGTGTGTGTGTGTGTGTGTGTGTGTGTGTGTGTGTGTGACCAAATAGAAAAGGTTTATCAATCTAAGCCGCGGCTTGGATTGGGGAGTTCTGAGTTCGAATTCCAGTCAAATCCTTTACATTTACTTACGTGCTAATACCCTTGGGAAAACTATAAAGCCTTATCTTCTACCCCCAGCTATGGGTAAATAACAGGATAGACCGGATTCTATAGCTTTGGATGGCAACTGCTATACCGCTGAAAAACTGAAAATCTAATGCGGAAAAAAAAACTGCTTCGTCAGTGATTTATCGAAAGATACATGATCGCCTAAATGTTTATCACGCATGGTGCATAACTGACATGTTTCACTTTTATTAAAGCTTCATCAGAGAATAAAAGTGAAGTTTGTTAGATGAATAAACCACACCCTATATCGTCTGCATCTTCTTATTCTGTCACTTCCCGATCCATATTATATCTTAGTGCATATATAAACCCTTGTGCAAATAACTAGATTTAAATCAAGAGTTTCCGGGCCAATGACTAGTACTTTCATCTGATGGCATATAAGGTTGGCCAGTGTGTTCGTGCAGCGTTACACTTTCCGTACGCTACCTTTGTGTAACGTCCATCGCAGACATTGGACTTAGGACAACTAATTGATAATCAAGACAAAAGTGTCCAGGC